GGGTTTTTTTGGTTATTTTTTCCCCCAGGATTGTTGTTCCTCGCAGCGCTTACAAAAAGAGCGGCTCCTCCACAGGCGGGTTTGTTTAAAAGGAGCTTTTCCAGCGCTGCCAAATTGGGGGATGCATGCCCTGCACTTAAATATTGTGCTGTTAAGTCGTTTGGATTAGCATTCAGGAAAAAGAACATCACAGTGGAAGGCACTGAAGGCACTGTAAGAATCATTATTTTTTAATTTTATTTATTAAAAAATACTGTGGCCAGTTTGTTGGATGTACGTAAGGTGCTAGGCCTTTTGCACAAAACAACTTGAATTGCAATTGCAGATTCTTCTGTCTTCACTTAGTTTGTTGACTTCACGCTATTCAGAAAGAGAAATGGGAATGTAAATAACACGATTGAAACTCTTCTTGTTTTTCCTGCCTGATAATTAGTATTTCAGTTTTCTCCCCACATTCATTCTTGTGTTAAGGTGGGAAATTTTCTTTGGCAGTAGAAAAATAATGAATAGATATTTAAGAAACAGAAAGCAAATTAATTTGTTTTATTTCAGACTGTAATTCAATGCTCTCTGTTTAAATGCTTACAGATGAATGGACCCATTTGTGGTGTAATTTGATTACAGCCCTTTATCTCAAACTTCATGCCTTGAAATTTCACTCTGATTTGGGGCTTGTCCCATTTGGCTTTCTTCTAACATTGTTTGCAGTGTAAAGTATATCAGCACCTTGTTTACTGCTGTCCCTGAATACTCCTTGGGGCATTAAAGGGTCCTCAGTCTTAAGCTTCTATTTTTATGTGTTGTTTCATTGTAATTTAAAGTTGCTGCTGATTTTTTGAAGGTCTTGTTGCTTCCTCTCCCATGCTTAAAATGTCATTTTTACTGTCAGCAATGAAGTCTTTAATCTGTTACTCTTAATGCATAGATTGGAGGTTCTTGGGGCTTTTTGTTTGTTTGGGATTTTAAAATTATTATTATTTTTTATTTTTATTTTTTAAACTTTCAGGAATGGTCCTGTTGTCTTTTTGTTTCCCATTACATTTCATGTTTTCAATGTTAGAGAGCTGTGAAAGGGTCAGGGCAGTAAGATAACCCCTTTGGGGGTTATCCAGCATTTGGGGTGTAGCACCTGACAGTTTTGTATTGCCTCTGGTTTCTGTGTTGTCTTTTTACATACACACCTTGAGTATCAATCTTTCCTTACTTTCCATGGAATCTCAGTGACCAGGAACAACAGATGTTTGTGGAATGATTTGTTGGCATGGGGAACTTCTCTTTATTTCCCTTTTGTTAATTTTGTTATTTTTGCAGCCAGCAGAGATGCAGGGGAAGCTTGTTTGTGTCATTCTTGAGACAGCTGACAGCACTGAAACGCTTTCTCCTGAGTGCTGCTGCGTGCCCTGTGGCAAACAAGGTCCCTGCCCCACAGATCTTCTCTGATCAACACCATGTGTATAAGAAAGATGAGGGTCTCTGGGAAATGTAACTCATTATAAATTTATGACCCCACAGTTTCCCTCTCCTCCTCCTAAAAAAGGGAATATGCTCAAAAATCAACAACTTTTTCTAAGGGTGCAAGACAAATCTCCTGTCCCACACAGCCCATGTGCAAAGAACCCCTCAGGGGAGTGAAAGAGGGAGGTGGTCCACATCTCTGCTAATCTATTCTGAGGAGATAGCAAAGATAGCAGTTACTACATCACCTACATCTTTCCCAGTGAGACTTTAAACAGAGTTTTACTCGTGCTGCAAGGCTGCCAGTAAGAAGTAATGATTTGTAGGATAGATGTGATCCAAAGGGGTGACAATGACATCATCAGTATTCTTATGTTAGTCATGCAAGAAACCAGGGTTGTTACACAGCCTCCTGTGAGAAGTGATTTGGAGGGTCTCTTTCATGTTGTCATCCATCAGGGAAAAGGGCTGGAACAGTTATTTTTTTAATCTTGCACATTTTTCATAATCCCCTAGGGAAGGAAAAGTAACAAATCTCCCTTTTTATTTGGCCTTTTGCCACACTCTCACACTCTTGCCCTTGTTCATGACACAAGAGTTTTAATTTAGCTTCTGTTACAATAGCAATATTTTCTGGTACAGAGAACAGCAGTTTTGAGGCTGTTCTGATGGCCAGAAGCAAGACAGCAGCTAACATGGTGAAGAGGTGAGACCAGCAGTGAATAAAATAGTAGGATGGACTGAGCTAAAAGGAAAATACTCTTAATCATAACTTTAAATTAGGCATGAGGTATTTTATGCAAAGTTGCATTAAGAGAGGTCGTCTGGGAATAAATAATAGTGGAACTGCTAAGCAGTTACACTGAGGACTGTGCTCTTGGTGTTCTGCTTTTGTCAGTGCAGGCCCACTGATTCCAGCAGGCTCTGCCAGGCATCCCAGTGGAGGAGTGATCCGTGTCGTTTTTAGTGGCATGCTGAAGATTTGCATGTGTCTAATGTTTTTGCTGTTGCTGTCATCACCATTCTGGTGTTTTATTGATTGTGTTGGTTAGGGCATGGTGCTAATAGCACCAGGGTTGGGGCTTCAGCCCTCATACAAGCCACTCACCTCAGAGTTGGACTTGATAATCTTTGTGAGTCCCTTCCAGCTCAGCATATTGTGTCTCTGTGTCTGGCTTGAATGTTCCTTGGTGCCAAGGATTCTCACCTATTCAGAAGCTGTGCAGTGTTTATGCATGTAAATATAACAATTGTGTGTGGCTTCACCATTGCATTGTTTTTCTTTTGGATGTGCCTCTGTAAGTGCTGGTTCTCTGGGGCAGAGAGCTGTGCTCATCTGAAAACTCCTGCCTTCATCTCCCTGTATGCTGCAAAATGAGCAGCTTCCCTCACACCAAAGTTAAGTGTCTCTGCTTCCTTGGTTAAACTGTCTCATGCTTCTGGGAGAGGTGCCACAAGTAACCTACTGGAGGACTTGATACAAATACTGTTCTGCTACATTCCTGGCTTGATTTTTTTTTTTTTCCCCTAAATTGCAAAATACTTTATAACAGCATCCAGCAAGAAAAAGTTCTGGATTCTGCACCTGGTTTAAGGGTACCCTGGGAGTGGGTACAGCCTGGGGAAGGAGATGCTGGACAGCAGCACCACACAGAGGGACCTGGGGGTCCTGCTTGGTGCCAGAGGGATCAGAGCCAGCCGTGCCCTGGGGCCAGCAGGGCCATCCCTGTCCTGGGGCTCCAGGCCCAGCAGGGCCAGTGGGGCCAGGCAGGGATTGTCCTGCTCTGCTCTGGGGGCCTCACCTCCAGTGCTGTGTGCAGGTTTGGGCAGCACAGTGTGAGGAAGAAATTAAACTGTTGGAGAGAGTGCAGAGGAGGCCATGGGGACAGTGAGGCCGTGAGGGGAAGCTGGGGAGGAGCTGCTGAGGGCCCTGGGGCTGGGCACATGGAGAAGAGGAGCCTGAGGGAACTCATTGCAGTGAGGGGAAGAGGAGGGGCAGACACTGATCTGTGCTTGGTGTGACACTGATGGCACCTGAGGGAATGGCCTGAAGCTGTGTCAGGGAGGTTAAGGCTGGATGGTAGAAACAGGTTCTTCCCCCAGAAGATGATACCAGTTGGAATAGCAGCGATTATAGTGGTAGATGTAAAGTATGCTCGGGTGTCAGCATCTATTCCTGCTGTGAATATGTGCTGAGCTCAGAGGATAAAGCCCAGGAACCCGATGGACAGTATAGCTCATACTATTCCTATGTAGCCAAATGGTTCTTTTTTTCCCTGTGTAGTAAGTTATGACATGAGAGATGATTCCAAATCCTGGCAGGATTAAGATGTAGACTTCTGGATGACCAAAGAATCAGAAAAGGTGTGGATATAGGACTGGGTCTCCTCCTCCTGCAGGGTCTAAGAGTGTGGTGCTGAGGTTGTTATGCAAAGGAGTATTGTGATTCCTGCAGCAAGGACTGGAAGGGACAGGAGTAGGAGCACTGTGGTGATTAGGGCTGATCAAATAGTGGGGTTTGGGTGGCTGGGCACTGAACAGGCTGCCCAGGGCAGTGCTCACAGCACCAAGGCTGGCAGAGCTCCAGGAGTGTTTGGCCTATGACACAGACATCTTTTATGAAAAATCCTTTCCTTCAGGATTTTTCCTCCTGAGAAGCTGAGAGGCCTCAGGAACAAAATGTAAACAATGATTATCTGCTGCTGTGGAATGCAACAGGTGCATCTGGGATTGGTCTCATGTTGGTTGTTTCTTATCAATGGCTAATCACAGTCAGCTGGCTCAGACAGAGAGTCTGAGACAGAGCTTTTGTTATCA